ACCCATGGATAAGAGATGAAAAGGAAGTCTAAATACCATAACTGTAAACTAATTAAAATTTAATGTGACTTAAAAATCACATTGCTATCTGGGGCAGATTCATAGATGACACACTAATCGCAATTTTTAATTTATATTTTATTTTGAAGTCTTAAAATAACCCTTGAAAAATACACAAAACAAGATCACCTGATATTTCTCTTTTGCTTTGGAAGCAATCCCTGTGACTCTGGGACCTCAGAAAAATTCCAGCTTTCTTAGACAAAAATAACTTGTTTTTAATCTTGAAAATATTTAATATTATTTTTACAGTAACCAAGAGACAAGGATGTGACTTTCATGATGCAAAAATTAGACTTTGACTGCACTCTATCTCTTCCCCACAAGTTGCTTTTCTATGACATTTGCACAGTCCAATCAATTATTTGATTGCTGTTTAAATAATGTATCATCATGACTTACTGATGGATGCCAATTAATGTGGAAATGTGGAAAGTAAAAAGTATAGGGTTCTAAAAACACCAATTAAGAGATGAAATTTTAAAAGCTCTGATACATATATATTGTAGACAGCAATTTATTTTGTCAAAGGATGATTCAGTTTAAAAGAGATCTACCAAAAATCATTTTTAAAAGACTTCTCCAGTATATCTTAGAAGTAAGGTTTAATTTACAAATATTCATATGTATATTTGCATGTGTATATGTGGTCTCTCTCTTGGTGGCAGGGGCGGGGGGCAGGGGGAGGAGAGAAGGGAACCATGAAGTACAAATAAAATAGTAATTATACTCTGCCAAAAGATTTACTCATAAGAATTACAAAAAAGTTTGTGCCCAAGACAATTATCCTAAAAGGGGACAACATTTCCTATTTTTAGGTAGGATGGTGTTAAATCTGCTCTAACCGCTTCAGCTATTTGTTAGAAACAAATCCCAATTGTGGAAACAACTTCAGATGCTCACAGCTGGTTGAATTGGGAATGAGACAGGAGTGACTTTTCGCAGATACACAGCATCACTTAGGGACCGAGAGATACATTAGCACAGCCCCACTCTCATTTTACAAATGAAGCTGCTTCTCCCAGAGAGGAAAAGAGCCTTTCAAAGGCTGCAAACGAGGCAGAGGACACAGAGCGTCCCCACTCCAGGACAGCGCTCCTACGTTGTTAGCCCTTGCCAGTGGCTGAGCCTTCAGACAATGAGATGCGTCTTTCTCTTTCCCATGTCTGCAGTACTTACATCCCAGGTACCTAGTATGGGGCATGTGGTAGGTGCCAGGGGACAGAGAAACATTTCATATATATATATATATATATATATATGTGTGTGTGTGTGTGTGTGTGTGTGTGTGTGTGTGTGTGTGTATGTGTGTGTATATATATATATATATATATATATATATATATATATTTGCACATTATATTAATTGTAATTTTGCATATTATCTCCCTCTCATGAAGTCAACTGGCTTCTGCTATTACTTGAGACTAAGCCTAGGGCTCCTTTGCTGAAATGCTTTTTTTCCTCACCCGAGGATATTTTCCCCCCATTGATTTCTAGAGAGTGGAAGGGAAAGAGGAAGGTAGTAGGAGAGGGGGGGGGGGGGGAGAAACATCAATGTGAGAGAGACTCATGGATCAGTTGCCTCTGCATACACCATGACCAGAGCCGGGGAACGTGCAACTAAGGTAAATGTCCTTGACCAGGAATCAAACCTTTGGTCCACAGGTCAACACTCTAACCACTGAACAAAACCAGCCAGGGTATGCTTAAACTCTCTAATATACTACTATTATAGATAATAATGATAACATTATTGAGCACCTATTTATAATAATAAAAGGATCATTCGCTACTTAGACCAAACCTCCTTCTGAAATCATTCTGGAGGTCCTTCCTGACGAAGCCAGGGCCAGAGGGAAGCCCTGGTCCTGGGTGCAGGAGGGAAGCCGGTGCTGGCAGATGGGGGAAGGAAGGCCTACTCTTGCACCAATTTTCATGCATCTGGCATCTAGTAATATTATGTTGACTTTAGAGATATCATCTAGTTACCGCTGCCAACTCTGCACTTGTATTTTATACTTGAGCCTTAGAAACATCCGGAGAGCTATCCAAAGGAGGATGGGCCTTGAAGCATTCCCTCTCTCTGCCCGAAGAGTCCATGCTCCTCCCTTTGCCTCTCTAGCCTCCCCCCACCCCCGCGAACGCCCTCCCCGCACCACAGAAGAGTGCTCAGGAGCCATTTGTGATGCCTGAAAGAGCTAGATTGGAGTTCACACCATGTTACCGCTTATGTAAGTCTTTGTTCCTACTGGGATCTGAAGAACAGGAAGACCATTACAAAAACAGGAAACACTCAGATTAGCAATTAAGGTAACCAAAATCTAAAGAAAAGTAGTAAAAAAAAAAATATCTCCACCAAATTGATTCATCAAAGCCAATTACCAAGTTCGTGAATTTAAGTGGATGGAAAATGTTCCAGTAGAAAACAAACAAAACATTTTCTTAATGCAGTTTACTTTTCTTTCTTTTTTTATAGGAAAAAATCATTTTATTTCCTAGTTTTATTTTGTTTTTGTTTGTTTGTTTGTTTTACTTTTTTCCATTACTATGTATCCCCTCTATATTTCCTGGTTTTCATTTGGCATATTTCTTATGGCTCAGAAATCATTTCCTTCCTTAACCATTGTCTGAAAACTATTTCCTATGCATTAAAAGTATATCGGTGGAAAAAGTAAACTTGTAATGTGGAAAAAATGTTTTCTCAAGACAATTTAAAGACATTGAAGTGTTTTTTGTTTTTTTTTTTTATAAAAAAAAAAAAGTCATTTTAAGCTATCTTCTTAGAGAAGCAAATTCTAGAGATTCAAGACATACTTCCTGTGCTCTAAGGATAGAACTCTGTTTCCAACTCTGTTTTCCTTCTAAATGACCTGCTGTTTCAGCGAAGTGGACTCATTTTTTTTGCACTTTGTTTTCCTAAAGATGATATGCCAAATATTGCAAATGTTAGATAATGACTAGGATTAACAGAAATCCTACACCTCTGGTCTTAAGTTCTACGAAGTAGGAAAAACAATTTTAAATTACATTTTGCTGCTGCTACCTTCATAAAAGTGTGAAATAATTTTGCTTTCCTGGGCTTTACAGAAAACACTTTAAAATGCCACAAAGATGTATAACAAGACATAAAACTGCAAATATTAACTGTCTATTTCCTTGAAATATAATTTAAATGTGGTGACTAGGACAGGAAAATGTCACATTCCTTTCTCTTGCTAAGGAAATTGCAAATTTCCTTTGCAAAAATAAAATATATGCAGTCTTCATAAGCATATATGTGACAGTTTTAAAGTTGTCTTGTTTGAGGTTAAAGGTTCCTATAAATTTTCATGATTGTCTCCCTGTTGAAAAAAGAACAGAAACCAAGAAGAAACGGGGAGACACTAACCTCAGGTATAAGTTTGTTTTCTCACCAATGTTAAAAACAACATTTGTGCTACACCCACATGTTGTACTTTCTATACAGCCCAAGTTATGTAATTTTAAAATCCATCTTCCAATGAATACACTTTTGAACTTTTATTTGTTTCTCTCCTTGATCTGCCACGTTGCAGACAGAAAGTTAATCTTCTCTCTTTACCAGGGTTTGTAAAACAAATGGATACGCATGGGACTGAATGCCATGGGCAGTCCATTATTGATAAGCATGCAGTGTTTAGTTGGGGGATTTCAAGACACTATGAGCCTTGGCTGAGAACATTGATTTCATTTGGAAACTAAGGGCCTCCTTTCAAACATAGATCCATCAAATTGCCAGAATTTCACTAACATGAAATAAAGGAAAAGATGAATAGTTACATCACCGACATCAGGGCTTTCTGCCTATTTACTCATTCAATCCCCACACTGACCTTGTTAGGTAGGTAATGCTACGTCTCCTTTTTGCAGGTGAGGGAACTGAGGCCAGAGAATTCAAAGTTTGGGCCAAAATTCACACTGTCTCTAAGTGGCAGACCCATGCTCGCAGCCACTCAGTAGATTTTAAGCTGTGATTTTTAAAAAAAATTAAAAAAAAAATCTTATTAGAGAAGAAAAGATGAATTGGAGAAGGTCACAGGGTGGTTTATTTTGTGTGTAAGAATTGGGTTCCTTGTGATTTCAGAAATCAATCCAGAGTGCATAGATTTAAAATCCTCTGGGAAGAGAAACCGACAGATCACAGGCTTTCACAGAGCCAGTCCAAAACCTTTGAGGGGAACAGGCAAGGCCCCAGCTCAGCTCGCTGGCTCCAAAGCCTTGGCCCAGTTAGTGGCTTTATTCCCTGCCACTGGGGTTTTCCTGGTCTCTGTAGAGGTTCCAGATTGACAGGCCAGTCAGGACTTCTGGGGAGAACAGAATCCAGACCTAGCTGTGGGATACAGCTACATGTTTTTCCCCCACTAGTACTTATGTTGCAGGGATAAACGTATACATGCACATAGATATGTCTCTGTAGAGTTGTGAGTACTTTTTAAACTTTATTTCTGCCCCCCCTCATTATTAGCAGATCAACAGAAGTGTATTACCAGAGCTTGGCAAGTCTGTTTAACTCCTAATTTTGTTTATCAGTAAAAAGAGCTTGCTTCTGGATTCAGATTTCAATAGATTCCCACTGCAAGAATAAATTCTGTTCATGAAAAACAATACATATTGCTTTGGCCCTGACAAGAATAATGGGAGTGCATATATTGATCACAATTTGTGTTAAACAGCAGTTTCCCTATTCCATATATATTTATGAGAAAGGTACAGCTCTTACACAAATTATCAAAATAAAATGGAAAAATTTCTCTATTTAATGCATCTTCAAAAATTAAACTAATTTGACCATTAATTTCATTATATTTCAAAAGTATTTGTAGAGTTTTTATAAGCACATAAACTTATTACCAACATTACTGATTAGAATAATTTTGCGATTTTAGTCATCTCCTAACAACCAAAAATATAGCACTCACCTTCTGCCCATTCAACCCTGGAATTCCATGTGCTCCAACAGAACCCTAAGGAGACACGTGATTAAATTAAATTGATAATCACAATCACAAAATATTTCAATGCTAATTTTTTTTTTCAATTGAAAAAATATTTTATTCTTATAGTGGGAAAAATTAAAACACAATTTACAGTAATAGGCTCTGCAATATTTCTAAAATGCCAAAAAATCTAGACCAGCAAAGCAATCTGACTTTTAGTTATATATGACACACATCCTAGGTCTACTATATGTTTGTAGAAGCACCAAAAGATGCCATAAATACATGGCTACTTTAATAAATCCAGAAATAATCTTTCTGTTGTATAGGAAAAAAGTTTTTTATTTTATTTTATTTATTTTTATTTTATTTTATTTTTAAAAAAATATATTTTATTGATTTTTTTTGCCCCCCTCCCTCCCTCCTACACATACCCTCCCTCCCCAGAGTTTTATGTCCATTGGTTGTACTTATATGTCAACGCTAAATTTATAGTGTTAGTTGTGTCAGCCATACCTTTACCTTACCAAAACATATCTCGGAGGCTACGTTTTTCGGTTCTTAACCTCCATGTTTAAACAATCAACAAGGTAAGCAGGTTCATCAAGCTTTTTCAGAAACTACAGAGTTAAATTTAGCTGTTTCTCCATATCTACCAAACTGCAGTAAGATTTTAAAGAAAGTCACATCATAAATTGAGATCCACAGCTGTCACAAGGCCACATGGCTCTAAATTTGGGTGCTTTTAGGAAATAAACAGGCTTAGTTCCATCTGGGAAATGCCTAGCAGTAGCAGCAATTCTTGAATTTTTATGAATTTAAATACCACAAAACAAAAGGTAATTAAAATAACAATCACCTATTGCACAATTAGTCAAATAAGGGGCCCGTGTTGTAAAACTCAAATTTATTGTATTTACAACATCTCTCCCCAGACTTTAAGGGAGCACACTGAGCCGCATGAGTGTGACTGTGTCTTGCAAAGCAGACTGGAAAAAATGTTACAAATGTTAAACCCTGAGTAGGAATACCATGACTTCTGTACATAAAATATTAAGTGAGTGCGCATGCGTGCAGGCACTCGGACATGTGTGCATGAGCTATGGGGTCAACACCAATGGCTGGACATAGGTAGGGTGAGCTGAGAATAAGCAAGCTGTTACCTGAGGAAAATCTATGACATTGAACTGGATACAGTAACATTAACAAATGTTTTCAAATAGTGATGTCATTTCCCTCCATACACCTTCGTTTTAGGCTCTGGAGAAACCATTTTTGAAAAAAATGTACTTATTCTTTGCCTAGTACTAGAAAGCAGCTTTTTCATAGTCTATGTATGCTATTAAGTTTCTTAATAATAGTGGGCAAAGTTTAAAAAAACAGTAATTATAAACCTAAAATTACTCTATACATAAGTCGATTAAAAATACAGTCATTATAAACAAAACAAGTTGAGATGGCAAGTTTCTTAGTGCTTCCACGACTCGATTGAGTGGGTCATTAAAGTACTTCCAGAGCCTGAGGCAGTAATTTTATCCTGGTTGCATGTGGATTAGGCTAGCTTTACAATTTCACACCATGCTTAATAGAGACATTATTGCGAAGGACAGAGTGTTCCTATACTCAAGTTGTCTCACAACTCATTGGCTTTTACTTGGTTTGCAGGATTATGTTTCAACAGATGCCACATGCCCAATGCGTGGGGGTAAAAAGTCTCTATCTTTGATGGATTCCAAAGACAAAGATAATCACTTTTCCACCTGTTGTGATACAATTGTTTTCTTTAGTTTTCTACAGGTTAAATGTCCCTTTCCTCCCCATTTGGGGCGGGAGGTTGTAATGGGCAACTGGGACTTAGAGATACTTTGCTGATAGAGAGCCATCTACCTGCTACTGATACGTTTATACTGCACTATTGGTGTAATTTCAGAAATTCTAGACCCTCCCCATTAGAATATAATGGTCAATTCTGATGACCACGCACAATGTTGAAATGACCATCAGGAAGTCACTTTTCAGATTATCTCAGCAAAGGAAGGCACTCATGGGCCACTTGAGTACAGTCACCAAGCAACAAGTACCTCCTTTGATCTGATCAGTTCTGTGGGCATTTGGCAATCAGATGTTTGAGCAAGGCCATGCATTTCATTTGCAGCGTCATATGATCCTTCACATTCTAAGATGCTGCAATCAGTATTTAAGTTAAAAATTTAATAACCTACAAGTTTGGCAGTTAGCATAAAAAGAGTCTGCTCTAGATTGTCTATAATGAGATTGATTAGAAATCTAATGGCTCACATTCTATGTATTTTTAGGCTACATAAACCAGGCCACTTACAGTAGCTAATCTCATCCAATCACATGCTTAGCCATTAGGCAATGGGAGCATACTTACTTTGACAGTATTGTTTATACTTTACCTTTTGTCCTGGAGGCCCCATAGGACCCTAAAAAAATCAATTCAATTAACATATTATAACCATTTAAACTTAAATGACCAATTAAAACTATGCTATTCTATAAGGTTCTCTTAGCTGTGTTGATATGCTCACATTTTTATGTACATCAAGGAAAATGAAAATTTCAGTTGGAAGTATAATACATAAGAGATCTTTTCTTGTCTCTTATTCTCTTTTGAAGAACATTAAGCACATGCAGTAAGATTCTGACTTTTTTTCCTTAAGAAAGAATCATTGCTATCCCATTGAAAAACCTCTGTTTTTTCAAATGCCTGCAAATCCTTCACATCAGTCTCATAGAAAGCTCAGCTGTTGCTACGAGAAGCAGTTAAAATGCAAGGCAGTTCCCCAGTAAATGGACACATTCTCTGACTTCTGCATCTTCAAAACCTCAGCCAGCAGATTTGCAAAGAACATAGTTCAACAGTATTACAAATAAAAATATTTTATGCTATTCTTCTTCTTATGAAATGTGGCTAATTGACCTGCACAAACACTTGTTTACAAATGAGGGGATGACAAGGTCACTTGTGGCACCCAATGTGTGCCAGAAAAGGAACAAATGATGCTGTCAGCTGTTGCATAAACTATGGTGCTAGGGAGTGAGATGGGGGAAGAAGAAATATAATATTTAGGAAGATGAATGGAAATATTTACATACAAAATGGAAATGTGGCAGTTCTGAGATTTAGCAGTTTTCCAACTACAAAGTCTGTGTTGGGGTTTCGTTGGCTTTCTTTGGAACAAGGCATGGCTTTGGGGTGATGGGAAAGAGCACAAAGAGATGCACCTCTAATTCTGACCATTCACGTCTATTTCAATATTAAAATATTAAGCAATTTTTTTCATTTTTTTCAAAAATACTTTTAATTTTAGTATATTTTAACAAAGTTATAGATAATCTATCATTTCCTTTAAAGAGTTCTTTATACCATTACATTTAACTAATGGCTAGTTTGTTTTCAATGTGTTACATTTCAGTTCATTAGCATCTTACATTTATACCTGAAACACTGAAGCACTAGAGTGGTCATCAGAGGAAGAACTGGTCATACATAAGTTTTAGTAAAAAGTACGCAATGTTTAGGAACATTTGAAGAACCTGTTCCTCATAAATTATTTTGTAATCCTCACAGGAAGAGAGACAATTTCCTCATATAATCAGCTTCAGATTATTGAAAGCACATGTACAGTATCACCTTTATATATTCCTTTCAGATTTATTCAACCAACCAACTTCTTAATAAGCTTGTTACCTGACATATCTGTGTGGTCAGAATCTTTCCTACCCATCTCATTCCTTATATTTAAAATTCTCTAAGTTTTATTTAATTTTTAAAAATCCTAACCCAAGGACATGAATTTATTGGGTGAGAGTGAGAGAGAAACATCAATGTGAGGGAGAAACATTGATTAGTAGCCTCCCTTATGTGCTCCCACTGAGGATGGCTGGAAGCCATAATCCAGGTATGTACCCTGACCAGAAATTGAACCTGCAACCATTTGGTGTACCTAATGGTGCTCTAACCAACCAAGCCACCTGAACAGGTAAAATTCTCCCTGTTTTAGATTTTACAGAGAAATAAGGCTATCAAGTGTAAATTCCCTCAACATCATATATCTCAACATTTCAAACCTAGTGTACCTCCTTCCATTGTCAGAAGAAGAGGCCATCCTCCTCTACAAGGCAAAAGCATCTTAGAGACACTGGAATCCATCCTTGCTTCTGCCTTGGGGCTTTGAGAAAATCAATTATCCCTGCATCCATATCAGAGCCTCCTGCTTCCCACTAGTTCCTTCCCCTTAGCACATAAACATGTTTAATCATTTCCTCACTCGGGTAAATTGTTTGGGAAATGAATGTTAATGCTGAATAAAGTCAGAATTTGAAAGCTGTAGTTATAGATCTGAGAGTGAAGAAAAGACTTGGGTTTTATCACTGTCTATGATTCCATTTTTCCAAGGGTCTCCAGAGTATTTCACTTTTTAAAATGTTGATGTTAAAGAGAAAATCATATAACAAAAAGTACATTAATTCAATGTTTAGACTGAGACTGTATATGTTCAATTCAAATGGGTTTGTTTCCCATTACAAACTGAACTTTGCCACTTGAAAAAATATTGTTCACTAAAATTGAATATTTTATTATATTGATGTATAACCCTGGGAAAAATATGTCATATAAAATTAAGAGCAAATTTCAAATCAAATTTTTAAACTAGACACCAACACATTAATATCTGGTATTTTCTAATCTGATCTCTAATGGATGATCACATCATATCAGAGATTTGGAAAGATTACTTTAAATCTGAAATCCATAGAATTATATTAATTGTATATTTTAGCACAGTATTTAACGAAAGTCAAAGGATTACTATAAACGTAAAGTTCTTCACTGTTAGGAAACTACTGCCATTTTTGCTAAAATTTAAAAGTAAAAGCAGTTTTTAAAATATAACATTAATTTTGAATTGTGACTACATGTCTTGTGAATTATTCATAACTATGTTGCCAAGGATAAGATTCTCAGCTACCAAAAATCTGAATTTCTCATTTGATATCATTAGCAGGGAAAATGGTAGCAAGCCAAGGATAGTGTCATCCATTACTAGGAGGGGACCAGGAATAAAGCAGAGTTGAATATTTGACACAGACATACATTTGAGTAAGCATAAACACAAAACACACACACACACACACACACACACACACAATAGTTATTTTACTGATTAGACTTTGCTTTTATGTATGTGCTTTGAATAGCTTTAGGTTAACAAATCCATTTTTAAGTTAACTCCGGAAGTGTTAAAATATAATTTGAACCTTAAAATATGCTCATTTCAATATAGATTCTGGGTGTTGTGAAATATATCAAGCTTTTTCATTGAAAGATTCTACATAATGGCCATGCTTTTTACTCAGATGATAAAAACAAATGAGCCATTGCAAGTTTCACTTGTCTGCAGGTGAACTTTTACACCAAAGTTTTCATAGTCTTTCAGAAAAGACCTTGGGGGAGCTATGCCAAGTTAAAACTTATAAAAAACTAATAAATTTACACAGTGCACTTGATTTTCCTTTCTGTTTACCCCACCCCTTTCTAAAGATTATATGAAGTATTCGGTAGAATATGGTCAGCACATAAGTTAAAGAAATATGATAGTCCCCATTTAGTGACGGTTTTTATTGAAAGTGTGCTGCTCAGGCCTGAGTAATCCTTCACTCCTTGTGCTCCAAGTCCAACAGATACTTACTCAGGAATATGTTTTTGGGCCATCCTTCTTCTTCAGCAGCATTGCTAAGCTCTTGTTCAAACCATTTTCTCTGTCACATGGCTAATGGGACACCCACCCAGGGCCTCTCTGCTTTTAGTCTCCTTCCATCCTTTCTGCACAGCGCTGCATGAGCAAGCTTTTTTTTTTAAATATATATTTTATTGATTTTTTACAGAGAGGAAGAGAGAGGAATAGAGCGTCAGAAACATCGATGAGAGAGAAACATCGATCAGCTGCCTCCTGCACACTCCCTACTGGGGATGTGCCCGCAACCAAGGTACATGCCCTTGACCGGAATCGAACCTGGGACCTTTCAGTCTGCAGGACCGATGCTCCATCCACTGAACCAAATTAGTTGCAGCTATATAAAATCTTATAATATGTGGCCTTTTGTGTCTGGCTACTTTCACCGAACATAATGTTTCAAAGGTTCATCCCTGTTGTAATATTCCATTGTATAGGTGTACCACATATTGCTTCTCCATCCATTAGTTGATGGACACTAGGTTGTTTTCACTTTTGCCTGTTATGAATAATGGTGCTATGAATATTTATGGATAAGTTTTTATGTGGATATATATTTTCATCTCTCTTTGGTATATACCTAGGAGTAGAATTGCTGGATCATATGGTAACTCTATGTTTAGCCTTTTGAGAAATTGCCAAACTGTTTTTCAAAGCAGCTGCACCATTTTCCTTCCCCACCAGCAATGTATGAGGATTCTAATTTTTTCACATCTTGGCTACCATTTTTTATTTTCTGTCTTACTGAATCAAGCATCCTAATGGGAATGAAGTAGTATCTTATTGTGGTTTTGATTTGAATTTACCTAATGACTGGTAATGTTGAGCACCTTCTCATATGCTTACTAGTCGTATGTATATCTTCTTTAGAGAAATGTATCTTCAAGTCCTTTGCCCAGTATTTTTTTACATTTTTAAAAATTGATTTTAGAGAGGAAGGGAGAGGGAGAGAGAGAAACATCGATATGAGAGACATCGATTGGCTGCCTTCTGCATGCCTCTTACAAGGTGTCAAGCTCACAACTTGGGCATGTGCCCTGACTGCGAATCAAACTAGCAACCTTTGAGCAAGCTTTCTTAAAGGCTGATGCATTCCTGTCTTTCCTCTGCTGAAAAACCCTTCAGGGTCTTTCCAAAGCTTTTGAGAAAAGTCCAAGCTTTCGTAATAGCTGTAGTTCAACACGTAAGTCATACTTTCACATCTCCACATCTCTGGCCGTTGGTTTCTATGATGGGCTTTTTATATATTTGGTCCTCTTTTCCAGCCTTCCCATATGCAGAGCTCAGTGTCCCTCCCTGCCCCCACCCTTGGGGTTAGGTTTCCTTCTTTTGTTCTTCAAGGCACCCAAGGTAGGACTTCATTTATAGAATTTACCAAAAGGATTGTAACTGAGAGGTTACTTCTTTCCTGACTTTCAATGTGTTTATCATGCTCAGTAGCTGGTGTATAGTAATTTCTCAGTGAATCCTTTTGAGTTCCTTCATTAATTCATCTCTTTAACAGTGTTTGAATGCCAACTGAGGGTCAGGCAATGTTCTAACAGTGAACAAATTAAACAAAAAATGCACAGCCCCAGGACTTCATATCTACTGTAGTAAGTAGAGAATGACAGTAAACAAATAAAAATTGAAGTTGTGTGGGGTGGTAAGTGCTAAAGCCAATAAGGAGGTTGGGGTGGGAGATG